TAGCAAAAGGATCTCATGTTTGAAGCCAGCCTAGACTGCCGGGTGAGGCCTTCTTTAAACTCTCAAACAGATGAATGCAGAAATCATTCTTTAAAACTGATGGGGCATGAGATTAAAGAATAGAGTTGCACCTCTGGCACAGAACATCCAGGAGGCCTGGAAGACAGGTTGCTATGGCGCTCAACCTGGACAGCAGTAAAGGCTGGCGGAGGGACTCCTTTGCTATGGGAACTCCATAGATTATTGTACCACCACTGCCTTTGGAATGTCAGTGGGGTGTGGTGGAGTTTTCCAAAGAACCTATGTTGAAGAGCTAGCCTGCAGTGTCTCAGAATGTGGCTTTGTCTGTCAGTACCATCACTGCGGTTGTGACTTGTTAAGTGAAGTCATCTAATCTTAGGTGAGTCCTAATCCACCATGACTAGTAGCCTTTTGAAGATGGAATTGGACAGACTTGTGCCGAGTAGATTCCACACAGACAGGAGTTCTGTCAAGGGACACACCGAAGACTCGCTGAGGCAGACAGATACCACGCTGCAGCTCTCTTCTGGATGCCAGTGGATGTAGCTTGACAGAGTGCAGCGGATGTGGCTTGACAGAGTTCAGCTGATGCTATGAGCAGACCCTGCTACCTAGTGGAGGTATGGAGCCAGTGCTGGTCCTGCCAACCTTCTGAGTAGTCACAGGTAAAATAATGACTCTCCCCTGCCCTTCGTTGTTACACAACTGAGACACACTGCCCTCGTTCTATCTTCAGACTTAGAATGAAGATGCACCAGTCTCACCCAGGCCACCCCGATGAAGAGCTGACGGATGGGGGCTACCGACCTCCCTCTTCCCTTACCCGTGCAGAGCTGACGGCTCTCTTCCACTTTAGGAACATCCTAACCACCTAACGGTCTTCGTGACAGCTTCTCTCTGCCATTTCAACTCAGTCCTTAAACCAGGGCCTCGAGTCATCCCTCCATGAAGACCTTTCATGTCACACAAGGCTCTCTGGGTGCAACACAAGGTTCTGATGTCCACATCATACCAACACCTGGGTCAGCAGCTATGTCACTGGGACCCCAAGACAACACTGGGCTTGATCTGCTGGCACCAAGTCACCGTGGCCTGCCTGTATCTGCATGCATGTCAGAGGAAAAAGACACTTTCAGAACACAGCTTGTGATTGGCCTGGACATGAAAGACAACACCTAACTTACAGGTGATTTTCACGTTAGTCTACCACTCAGGGCCATTAGGGTTTAAATACTCAACTCCTAGCTCAAAGATAAAAATTGCCTTGTGACTAAGTAGCACCCAGCTGAGCTGTCCTCTGACTCAGAAGTTCTGAGTTCCCAGAAAGCAAACAAGAAGAGAGAACTATACTCCCAGATTTCTCATCCCCAAGGATAGCTTATTGAGAGAATCATTAAGATTGTAATGGGACATAATTTGGCACCTGTTATGGGGACATTCTAAGGGTGGTATGGTGAAATCTTATACCTTCAAGTTCTAAAAATAGGACATTATTTGGAAATAGGGTCTTCACAGAGATAGTTAAAGGGAGGCCACCAGGGTGAGCCCCTATGCAATAAAAAGGGGAAATGTGTCCATGGAGACAGAGGTGGGAAGAGGCAGAGTGTGTGTGTGTGGGAGGGGGCAAAGGCAGAGCATTCACGGTACACATCTATCAGCTACCGAACACCACACACTGCTGGCTCTGGAGGAACTGTGTCTTCCAGGCTGGACATGGCCAGTGTTACCTTGAAGCAGAACAATTGTGATCCCTTCCAGAAGACCTCAGAAGTCTTCCCTTGTCGGGGAGGAGAGGCCTCTGGAGACCTGCTGTTACTATGGAAAGGGCCATGTGTCTTCCAGTATTAGGTCTCTGCTTTGTACCTTCACACTTATTGGGTCACATGGCCAGGCTGTCACAGCAACGGCCCCACTGCTAGTTCATGTTCTCTGTTTTCGTTTAACCGCTGCTGTGACCAAACACTTTCCAGAAAAAAAAAAAAAGAACTGAATGAAAGATGGATTTTGTCCCAGTTTTGAAAGCTCAAGTTCATTATGGAGGGGAGGCCATGGCAGAACCGAGGGACCCGTATCACCGCAGCCATGAGACAGAAGGAAAGCCGACAAAACCAGCACAGGGACAATACTGTGGCCACGGTCCACAGCTCCCTCCACTTCCTGCCCATCCTGAGGAGAAGGCCCTCCATCAGCAGACTCCTCCAGCCCAATGTGCTGTCCAAGCACGGAGCTGAGCAGGCACACAGACCCCGGAAGCACAGCACAAATCTCTCCTTTTACATGTTTATGTCATGTGCTCTGCCACAGTGACATCGAGGCTAACAAATACACCATCTTTTCAAAGTTAAAGCACAGAAAATACATTTTCAGGCAGATAAAAGAGGAAAGAATTCATCCCCAAGGGACCTTCTATCATAGTCCATTTTCTGTCACTGTAGAATAGTAATCTAATTTTAAAGAAAAGAGCCTTTACTTTGCTCATGGTCTAGTCCAAGGTCAGGGGCTGTGTCTAGTGAGAGTTTCTAGGAGGTGTGGGACATCTCAGGAATATAGGAAATGTATCACTCCTCTATGTCTGTATGTCTGTCTGTCTCTCTGTCTCCGTCTCTCTCCTGTGTCCTGTAAAGCCACTGGAATTCTGTCATGGGAGTCCAGGCTACGACATACCAAACCATAATCACCTCTTAAGGCCTGCTAGTCTAAGCACCTTTCAACTTTCTGATTACCTCACAGTGGAGGCTGTGAGTGTCTGAGGGGCACACTTAACCCATTTCCAAGCTGAACACCTTCACCTATAGAGGACATCAGACAAAACAAATAAGTGGACATCTACGGTGGATCATAAAGTAGTTCATACCTTTAAACCTCTTCAAGACTATGGACTGTAAACAACAAACGTAATGAGGCACAGGGGGGCTGTAGTCCCTGGAATGCTAGAGCTGACTCTGGTGTGAGCGATGGCTAGGGAGGTCCCTCTTCACAAGTCTGCGCTCAGTGATATCATGTTTCTACTTCAAGCAGGCCGTGTGGGAGTATTTGTCTCACAAAACCAGCAAGTGCTACAAACCGAGGCTGGGTCAGCCTCTGGAGGGGTGTGATTAGGCAGTTCCCAGCATGCTATGCTGAGAGTCCAGAGTACACCAGGAGCTCAAATTGAGAGGGAATAGCAGGAACACACAAATACACACACACACACACACACACACACACACACACACACACACACACAGAGTCTGTGTGCTGAGAGTACAGAGAGAATAGAAGGAACACCAAGAAAGTGGCCTTAGAACAGTTACAAGGTTCTCTCTTTTTACACTTTATTATTTTATATGTATGAGCATTTTGTTTGCATGTATATGTACCACGTGAGCTTGGTGCCTGCAGATGTCAGAAGAGCCATCGGACCCCCTGCTGGAGTTATAGACGTTTGTGATCCTCCATGTGGGTACTTAGAATCGAACTGGATTCCTCTGTAAGAGCAGCCAGTACTCTTAACCACTGAGCCATCTCTCCAGCCCTGATTTTCATGGTTTTGATATATTCTTTCTTTTCCCTTAACTGTAGTATCTCAATGCAGTCTGGTGACATAAGGCATTATTTTTAAATCTCTGGAAAATTAAAGATTAAGGGAGTAAGGGATGCACAAGCTTACTCCAGGAAATAATTACCAGGGAAGGTTGTGGGTTCTTTGGGTCACATAACAACCCACTCGGGGCTCTGAATGTTCATTTTCTCTGTAACCCCTCCTCTGCCTTCAAGAGGAAGAAGGAAGCCACCAGAAATGAGTCAGTAAACAGTCTTAACCATCCAGGAAGTGTTTCAAACGGAGTTTGCAGATGTATACAGAGTGCTTATTTTCATATTCGGAGAACATTTCAATCAAAACATGCAAGAATGTAAACGCTTAGGAGTGTGAGAATGTGTATAGCCAAACTTCGTGTCCAACGCCACGCCCAGGAGGATGACTGTGTATTTTATACATTCTGAGAATAAGCGGGCTTTTCCATACACAAAGGGAAGCCAGCCAGGTCTCCTGGAGCCTTGCTTAAAAACTGGCATTTCTCCCTCTCTTTATGGCAAAGGGGCAGAAGTAGGGGAGGATTACAGATTCGAGAAGAACAAACTTTCAGAACTAACTCTTCTCAGACAGAGAAGGATCCAGACTGCCCTCTGTGTAGACAAGGGCACCTGGGTGTCATGGGCTGAATTCTGGCTATGCCATGACTAGGCAAGCATCAGCAGGCTAGGTGACCTCCTTAAGTCTAGCCTTCTCCGTCCACACAGAGGCCATAGCGAGTTTTAGGTGATGTCTAACCTGATGCATGTGTATTAGTCAGCAAGTGTCCAGCCCAAAATGGGACCTGAATGGGGCAGCAGAGCCTGGAGGCTGACCTTAAGGAGCAAGGATCCAGCTACCTGCACTCTGCCACTTATTTGTAAGTGCCCATGGAAGCTAAGTCTACTCTCTGGAGAGTTAAGGAGTGGGTATTCTGGGATTGGAATGAATAATAGCCAAGTCTCAAGTAGGGAACATAACAGAGTAACGAGAACCCTGTATCAAGGTGGATGGAATATTCAGGAACATGCAGGCTTGTTACACACCTCAAATTAGCAGTGATGAGTTGGTGTGGTGGCATACACCTGTAAGTCCAACACTCAAACGATAGCAGAATTGTGAGTCTGAGGCCAGCCTGAGCTGCAGCAACTTACACGGTCACACAGAGCACAAGGCCTGACTGGCAACACAAGCAAACAGCCTCGTGTCCACAGATGTCTCCCACTCCGGATAGGCTCCCATTAGGTCACATGGGTCAACCACACCAGCTCTCTCCTGCTAGCACAGAGCCCTGCCTCATGATGGGAAAGGAAAACACACAGCACCAGAGCTGGAAGCCCGGGAGTTCCCAGAAGCACAAAACAGACATTAATATTTAACCGAGTGGTCATTTCACAGTCTGCTCCAGTCACCGGCCTTTCCTTACCTGACGGTTTCCCATTCTTGGTCATCCTTGTCCTTCTCTTCCTTCCCATCTCCGGTATGTGGGTGTTTCTGCACAATCCGCATCCCGCCGGCTTTCACTGCAATACAAACACAGGCAGGGGTGACCAGGGTGGAGGCGCATCTGCCTGTGGGTCAGGTGGAGAGCCACCGTTATTGATTGGACTCCAAGAGCAGCAATCATAACCATGCGAGGGTGGTGTGATGTGGAGGAGACTGGACACTGTGAACCCCTCAGCGCCCTCGTACGTCTCAGAGCTCCCCAAGGCTCCAGTGTTCCTTTCTCATCACCTCTCAAGTACTTTGTACGAACAGCAGCGTAGGCAGAACACAAGCCATGTGACAAAGTGGCTACTAGATTAGGGTCTGTATGTCATATAGACAAAACACAGGCCACTTAAACCCTGCCTGGTGATCTTACTTCTTCAAATACCAGTGGTTTGTATGGGGCGGCATAGTCATGGCTGCCCAGGCAGTTCTAAGAATCTGTCTGTCTCTGCCTTCCTAGCACCGGTTATAACATGAATCTTGCCCAGCCTTTTAGGTGTATGCCAGCAGTCTGAACTCACATCCTCAGGCATTCAAAGTAAGCACTTGAGTGAAATGGTTTTCCCGGCACCAGATGGGCTCTTTTCAAGAGTCTGCTACTGGGCCAGTGTCAGAGCCCAATAGGGCCTGCGAAGCCATTCAGAGAAATCCTTCCCAAACTGGGCTACGGATACTGCTGTTGGTGGGTTACTTTCTTCATAAAAGCAGCTTTATGGAAATAGTTCATCCATTTAGACTAACACAGCCTGAGTTATGTGTAGCCATTGCTATGACTGTGTTCATCACCCCGAGCAGAAGACCTGTACACATGAACACAGTCTTTCTGTCCATCCCTCCTTGGATCCTGGTAACCATCAGTCGGACTTTCCTATTTTGGACATCTAGGGTGGAGAAGAAATCACAAAACACACAGAGTTTGGTCACTAGCTCTCTTCCATATTTTCAAGGTTCACCTGTGTTACCCCACGTACTAGGGCTTCATTCCTTCTGAATGCCAACTACACTCCTCTGCAAGGACACACCACGTTTTGATTTAGCCACTCACCAGGTGGTGGGCATTTAGGTTGTTGGCAGTTTGGGCTGTTATGAGCACTGCAGCGCTGGGTACCATTCATATCGTTTTCTGCATCTGTGTGTTCATTTCCTCGGATCTGGATATAGGAATGGGATAGCTGGGTCCCACAGGAACTCTGTATACTGATTGAGAAATCAGCAGGTGTGCACCAGGTTACGGCCTCCGGTGTCTACACACGCGCCTGAACTTGTTACTTCTAACTGTCGCCATGCCAGTCCGTGTGAAGTGGGATCTCTTTGTGCTCTGACCGTTACTGACTCAATGGCTGATGTGATTATTTCATAAGGAGGAGGGGGGTTGGATGAGGAGAGTCTAGGATGGAAGGGATGAAAGTGTGAGAAACGCCGGGTAGACAGAAGCAAGTGTGTGAGTGTGGAGGCCAGAGATGGACCCTGGGTCTCTTCATTTCTCCACTTGCTTTTCTGACACAGGTGAGTTCTGAGAATCAGTCCATCTTCCCTCCCTAGCAGTGGGATTACAGATATGAATTAGCTTTGATGTGGATGCCAGGAAATCTGTACTCGGATCCCTGGGCTTTTGGAGCAAGCACAGTACCAACTTGGCCATCTTCCCAGCCTCAGATGGGTCCAAGAAAGAGCACCCACCATGCTAGTGGGCATCAAAAAACTTTTGGTGGAATGGAGCTTGAAGTCACCCCCAAACAGCAAATCCCTCCCAATAATCCTGGGGTTCATCTTTTCGTCGCAGTGGTCCACAGCATGGTTTGCAAGTACTGGCTCTGCACCCACACAATCTCACACGGTGGTGTGAGGTCAAAGTTCTTTGAAAAGCTCATCTGTCTAAAGACCCTACAGAAGGCCTGGCCTCGCCTGAGTTGAGGGAGCACTGTGGTAGTGCCCAGAGGGGGTCTTGTGGACTGAGAGTTTAAATGACCTTGGTTGTATTCAGCCATTAACAGCCACTGACCTCCCATCTCTGTTTCTAACCTAATGCTCTCAAGACTTGGAGAACTCTCCAAGAATGTATTCCTAAGCAGACCGGTAGCCTCTGTCAGACCTAAGGCTAAGAATGCAGTAACGTCCAAGACCTACAGGAAAGATTTCCGACCTGTACGGCCACCGACTTGTTGCTCCCTACGAGGCATCTGTCCATTGTGCTGACTTATGGTTTTCCTCTGTGGCTACAAAAGCTTGTCACCTTTCACAGGGGTTACATCAGTCACCTACTTCTGTGTTCCCGAGACAGTTATACCAACCTGCCCCAAGCATTTTCTTGTTTCCATTAAAATGTAATTATTTTTCAACACCAGTAGTACTTACCAACATACAGCTTCAAAGACAGTGAGCCTCTTAAAATAGACACCTTTAAATAAGGACAGTAGTGTCCTGGTGTGGTATTCTGTTGCACCCAGAGAGCCCCTCCCTTCCTCTTGAGGTTAGCTATCTACACTTCTACCACAGCCCAGGCTGTATCCCATGGAGTGGCACAGTCAACTTGTCTCTGGTGTTCCTCATTTGGATGGATTCTGCTGGGTCACAAGGAACAGGCAAGTTTACAGCAGACAAGGAGGAACAGCTGAAAGTCTTCCCAGGCTCGGACTCTGATTTCCCTGGGAAACATGGAAAGACAAGGACACTGGCTTCTCGTGGTCAGCAGGTAAAAGAGCTGTCCCCAGAAGGCAGAAGAATGGACCAGTGGATCGGAGGGCTGTGCTTGAACAGTACACCGGCCCGTCTGTGGTGGAAACTAAAATCTCCGTGTCTTACCCTTTAATTCAGGAACGCCAAGCTACTTTGGAAAAAAAAAAAATAGACCCTCTTTAACAATGCTCTCAGAAATCTGCTTTTTATTTCAACAGTTGATTTTTAATAACTTTACTTCTCTTTGAAGAGCTTAGCTTTGTCTCCACACCCTTGAATCTTATTTGTTGGGGACTTTCTCTTCCCATTTCTAATCGCGTATTTGTTTCAGGCCCGCCTGTCTTACAGTTGCCTGTCCAGCTATTCATTCATCTGAGGTCCTGTGTGTCTACTCTTGCTGTCTGCCTCTGTCTGCTGATCTTCTTCCTGGGCTGGATGGCTGTGGGTCATGAGCTGTCTTCCCTGAACGGATTAGGATCCTATGGGGTCTTGGTGCAGACAACAGCTCTGTGGAGAGGAAGCAACTATTTTTGTTCAGGTTCTGCCATCCTTCAGATGGATTTCATAGCATGGAAGGACCAGAGATGTGATAGTGTGAATGTGGCATGCCCCACAGGGCTGTGTTTGGAGTAGCTTGGCCTCCAGTTGGAGGGTCTGCTTAACAAGGCAGTGGACCTTTGAGACATGGTGCCAAGGGGTTTAGGCTTGAATATAAGCAGTTCAGGGGGGCAGGGGTGGCACTGAAGGTTATAACTCAGTTCCGGTTTCAGTCCTGGGCACTGATATGCCAAGAATGAGAAGCCATCCTACACCCCCCTGCCACCATGTGTGACTGTCACTCCTCAGCTTCAAGAGACTAAGATGGTGAGCCAAAATTAATCTTTCCTCCTGGAAGTTGCTTCTGGCAGATATTTTATCATAGACCAGAAAGGCAACAGACATACCATCAACTTAACCTCCACTAAACTCATTCCTGGGTTTACAAATTATCAGACTTTTATCCCATTTGGAGCCTGGGCTAATGGAGGTCAGCTTCTTGCTGTCTCACTGTGAGGCTGGACAAGCCTCTTCCCCACAGGGTTTGACCTCTCAGCATCTAGCTTTACGCTAGGGTCTGGTGTCCTACACCTATGCTGGGGTCTGGTGTCCTAGGCCCGACCCATTAAGGCCCAAATCTCATGTTTCATTTTCAGATCCTTCTTTCTAGTTGGTCCTTAGGGATTTTTCTCACTTTGAGTTCAGATTGGACAAAAATCAAAAAAACCAAACCAAACCAAACCAAACCAAACCAAACCAAACCAAAAAACAAAGAAAAACTAAAGAGCACAAAAAAAGCCACCATTGTAGGCCAAATTTTAATCCAAGGATTCTACCCCACTGACACACTTAGATTAAAACCCTGTGGTATGTTAAGATGTTTTTCTATCTGAGAATAATGGATTGTTTTCACATAGCAAAGAGTCTAGAACCATCCCCTAAGTGGTTTTTAGAATATACTTCCTCCCTCCTGCCCATGCCCTGGTGAAAGATGCTGCCGTCTCTGAAATACACACAGTGAAGTATTAACTTCCGCTACCTGAACACATGATGGGATTTGGCATGAAAACATATCGTGACATATCACTAGCCACAGACTGAAAACTGTGATGGTATTTGGCATCAAGGCCTCTGAAGACATAAGTTAAAGTTGAAGATGATTCTAAACCAACAGAACTTGTGCACTGGGAGGCACATTCCTAGAGAAAAGGTCGGGGCGGGGGAGGGACTTGCCAGATCTGGGGTGTGGGCAGGAAGGGAGGAAAAAGGAGGGAGAGAGAAAGCAGGCTCAGGAGAAACTAGCACTGTGGACACCTTGATCTTGGGCTTCCAGCCTCCAGGACCACAAGAAAGAGATGTCTATTGTGTGCGGGGGAGGCCCATCTATGGCATTGTTACAGGAGCAGCGGCAAAAGAATGAACGATCATTGAAAAATGGTGTCTGTGAAACATTTCAAATATAGCAGTTCACAGATACGATATACTCCACAAACTGCCTTCAAGTGAGACTGGCTAGTTCCCGAAGACATAGAGAGCTGGCAGTGAATGTCAAGGTGACATCTAAAACAACCACATCTCTGGAGGAGCCCCTGGAACGGCCTGTCCACTCTGCAGAAGTGCTTGGTGCCAGAGTCTGGGCACCTACCTAGCATCCCACTTGCGTTTGATTCAGTTTCTAAAAACAATTAACTTCATTAGTCCATCTCAGTATGCTTGTGATTAATGCAGCAATAAAAGTGGCAATGCTAACAATAACTCAAGGCCGAGGCAGATTCCGTTTAGCTTGCAAGAATGTGAAAAGTTATGACAGCATGTTGCA